AGTTGAAGAAAGGAACCTCCATTGGTGATCACATGAACCACTACACGAAGCTTCTTGCGGATTTGGCGAATGTGGATGTTAAGATTGAAGATGAGGACAAGGCGTTGTTGCTATTGAGTTCCTTGCCTGACGAGGAATATGAGACCTTCGTTCTTACTCTTATTAATGGGAAGGCATCTCTTTCGTATAGTGAGGTCACCGCTGCACTTGTGAATTATCAGCTTCGAAAGAAGGATAATGAGACTTCGATTGAGTCAGTAGCGGGGGCGTTGGTCGTAAGAGCAAAGGGTCCAAACCGTAGTAGGAGGTCGCAGTCTAGAGGAGCACATCTTAGAGTTCGTAAGAATCAGTGTGCCTTTTGCAAAGAGGATGGATATTGGAAAGCCGAATGCCCAAAGTTAGTTGATCGAGCCGGGAAGAATAAGGGAAAAGCTATTCAAGCTTCAGAGGCAAATGTTGTCAAGGCTAGTGGTAACGATTCAGATTCGGATTCTTCAGGCTACTCATTATCTGCACTGCCGTCAGTTTGTGTTGCCTACTCTACAGAGTGGATGTTGGATTCGGGGGCTACATATCACATTTGCCCTAGAAGGGATTGGTTCTCCAGCTTTCAGGAGTTGGAAAGAGAGGATTTCGTGCTCATGGGGAATGATCACAAATGCTCTATTCGTGGTATCAGTACCGTTCGGATCAGGATGAGTGACGGGGTGATTCGGGAGTTGGTTGGAGTGAGGTTCATTCCTCAGTTGAAAAAGAACATCATTTCACTTGGAGCTTTGGAGGCAGCAGGCTATAGGGTGACCTTGGCGGATGCACGCTTGAAGGTTACATTTGGGTCCATGATTGTGATGAAGGGCGTCAGAAGGAGAAATTTGTATTATTTGCACGAAAACACGGTGATTGATAGGGAGATGACGACTTCATCAGATTCGGCTAGACTGTGACATTGTTTGGTGCTGGGGTATATGATTGGTAATGTCGTGCATTGGTTGTTGAGGAGTGCTAGACCTGCAGATTGAAGTCATGTGAGCACATTGGGATGAGAAAGACCGTGGTGGAGTTTGGCACTCCTATCCATCGAGCGAGGGGTCTTTTAGGAGGTGTTCAGTCAGGCATTTGGGGGCCTTCTAAGGAGGCATCATTGGGAGGTAATCGTATCTTGGTTTCCGCAGTTGATGATTGTTCTAGGCATTATTGGGTCGCGACCAGTTCCCGTTGGTGTAAAGTCCTAGAAGTCAACAACAATTGGAAGAAGTGTATTGACATAAATGTAACTCGTTGTTCCAGCTTTGGTAGAGGCCCTTTCTTGCGTTTGTGTCGAGCTCACGGCAATAGGAGACACTTCATTGGTGTGGAGATTTTGGGGCGACGAGATGAGATGACAGTTTCGATGGGTCGTTCCTTTCTGGAGGAGGATCGGCGTTGGTTGTCGAGCATTGGTTCTGGAGCTTCGACATATTTGGGTCATCTTAGTCATAGGTCGCCGACTGCTGCGTTTGGAAATTTTGGATCTGGTGGAGCTGCTTCAGATTTTGGGTTGCGTCGGATGTTTGGATACCCAGCACTTGGTCACATCGTGGATGTGAGATTGGATCCGATTACAAGTTTAGGGTTCGGAGGCTCAGTTGATTATCATTTGGGAGCTTCTGATTTTTTTCTGAGCAGTTATGTCACATTGGACTCTCAGCAGGTGGAGAGTGTTGATTAGATCGTTCGGATGTCGCAGCAGGTGGAGAGTGATGCTACTCCACGTTGGGTGGAGATTACTCCATGTACTCCAGGTCAGCTAAGGTGACACAGGTTGGAGATCATTTGGTTTTGGATGCAGATGATGGATTGGTTTTGGATTCAGTTGCAGCTGGTAGATATAGTTTGGATATGGCCATTGGTTTACCTCAGGTGGAGGTGTTTGGATTGAGTCAGTTCGGGGCCATTGGAGGTGCTATCAGTCGCAGATTTGGTGATGATGGAGAAGGGTTGCGTACTCTTCTATCGGATAAAGGGCCTTTGGAGGCCGTTAGGTGAACTACGTGAATGCTTGATTCCTTGGGCAAAGGATACGTAGGCAGTCATTTTGATGCAGTCGATTTAGTGAGCGACATCGACATTTGGGGTGAGTGTTCGCACTCCCATTTGGGTCTCAACATGTGAGGCATTTGTTGGTTGGTGTCGGCTCAGTTTTGGGAAAACTTCGCCGAGGTGGAGAATTGTGAAGAAGAACTTGGAAAAAGCAGATTTTTGGTCATAAGTCGACTCATGCACAGGCATAAGTCGACTTATGGTAAGTCGACTTATGTTTGTGTCGTAAGTCGACTTACGATCTGCTGTGGATTGTTGATTTTGGGCTCTGGCAAGTCGACTTATATAGACTGTTAAGTCGACTTACAATCTCTTCTCCAGTTGTTGTTTTTCTCTCTGCCAAGTCGACTTATGGCCTCTGTTAAGTCGACTTACGACGGGTTTTTTAGAAAGTTTAGGTTCCTATTTGCAGTCTGTTTGGGTTTCTGTTTTGGTATAAATACCAATACGATTTGAGGGTTTTGAAGGAGCATATTTGGGGATTTTGGAGCACAGAAAAGAGAGATCTTTCTGAGCTATTGGTTAGGGTTATTGGTTGAGAGGTTGAGAGATTTGTTGGTGAGATTAGTTGGTTCGTTTGAGCGATTTGTAATCTCAATTTGTACTCTCCTTCTCTATTAGTGGAAACCCTCCCCCTTCTTGCCCCGTGGACGTAGGCAATTGCCGAACCACGTTAAAATTGGTGTTTGGGTTTGTGCATTGATATTTGGTTGTTTTTGCCTTCTTTGATCGGCGTTTGTTTTGGTTCCTCGGCGCCGCCGTCCGTCACAACAAAATAGACATATAAAACAACTAAAAAGTGCAGTGTATAAGTAACCACTTATGAGAGAGGTGTTCTGTAATACTTCATAAACTCCAAATTCAAGTTCTCTTATTAGACCAAATAAAAAAATGCAAGTTGTGCGTATATATGAAATTACAAAGAAATGACAATAACATGAAATATCTACCAACATTTCATTTAAGTCATGGCAGCAAGAGTATTTTACATGAAAATCTTCTTAATTGAAAATAAATTTAGATAAAATTAGGTGGAGAGTGTTTACCTTTTTGGATAGGGGTGTTAACGGAGCGGATACGGCTCAGATATGGTACTTACCATATCCATATCCGCTTACCCATCTCGGATACGGATACGAATACGGATATACGTTGGTAAGAAAAATTCATATCCATATCCGCCAATATCGGATACGGTTACGGATATAGATGCGGATATATAAACGGATATGTATGCGGATACAAAAAAAAACATGAGAAAACTAGATAGTATTCAGAAAAATATAGTCATGTGATACAAAAAGAGTTCGTTAATATGTTCATTATGATTGAAAAGCTAAGATTAGACATCTTGATCATCAAAATTAACCACAAATCCATAATCTAAGAATCGAAACTATGGTAAGAGTATGACCAATATGTATTCGGATATTTTCGGATACGGATACGGATATTTCACTACAAAACCATATCCGTAACCATATCCTATCGGTTATAGATTTGAGTAACCATATTCGTATCCTAATGGATACGGTTACGGATATTTCCTCGGATACGGATACGGTTTGACACCCCTATTTTTCGATCAATTTTGATTGCTATCCGATCTTTAGGAGATGATGAAAGTAAAATTGTTGAAGTTGGTGCAAATAAATATGAAAATTCTTGGCAAATCAATAAGGACATGACTGTGGATGTAGATGCTGGCAATTGGAAAGATGCTCACAAGATTGAGAGGTTCAATTACTGGCCAATGACAAATTACTTTTTACAAATCAGAGGGAAATTTTCAAGAAGTTCTATTTTTTATACAAATCAGAGGGAAATTTTCAATTACTGGCCAATGAAAAATTACTTTTTACTAAAAATAATTAATTAGCTCAATTATTTTTAGAGGGTTATTTAATGAGGACACCCAATTACTATACGTAGAAATATAAAACTCATAATTACAATTACTATATATGTATACCCCACCAAACATGTAATTGAGCTCTGCCGACTGCCCAGCCCGTGCAACCCCCCTTCTTTTCTAAATGTTAATTTCAGAAAAACCCCTAACTTCAAGGGCTTTTTCATATAATTTAATTTTAGCTTTTTTTTCATCCCTCGTAACCCCTGAAATTCAATGTGTCTAAACAATACTCAATTTTCAGTTTTTCTCATTACTCAATTTTCAGTTTTTCTCATGCTAATCCTCTAGCGTGTAATTTTCAAATTAATAAAGTTTTCTTGAAAGAGGAAAAAAAAAGTTTAAGCATTACGGGAGAGTATGCGTTGCATAAATAATTAAGAATATTTTGATTTTTTTTTTCTCACGACAACTCACTTATTTGGAATTTATATAGACCCAACCAGTTAATTAGCTACTAATTAATACCAACATCACGACACTTTGCTTGTTCAGACAATCGGATTTTTAAAACATTAACTCATTATTTTAACCTCCCTATACTACTTTTCACACCGTAAGAAACTTTTGGTGAAATGTAGTGATTTACTTGGAAATAATATTACTACGAAGCAAAAAAAGATCGAATAGATTGCCTCGAGTCAACTTTATCATACAAATCCATTTTCTTTCCTTTTTCTTGAGGGAGAAAAACTGGCATTAAAGAAGGAGAAAATAAAAGTCAACGAGCTTCACTCAACCAGCCTCTTCAGCAAAGCCCGGACGCCCTCCTCCGCCAACGCCAGCATCTCCACGACCTCCCCCAACCCCTGCTCATCCACTCGCGCCACTTCAACAACGCGGGAAAAACAGCCAAAACGCTGTCGTCAGCCCACAAACCCCAGCCGTCGATTGCGACGACCTGCCGCCCCGGTGCATGCATCGCCTCCACACCCATGCCTTCGTCTCGCCTTCACCTCCCAGAGCTACTTCAACCCATGCACACGGAAGAAAAACGTATCACCTCACCGGTCGGCCTCTCCGACGTCATATAATAGAACACGGACCTCATGCATTAGCCCCGGAGACAATAAACGCCGCAACCACGCCCGCGCCCGCGCCCGACCGAGACCGGACCGGGTCATAGACCGAAGGCCGCAATATGCCGGTGACCATCAGGTTCCACCGGCGGCCCCAGAAATCCTGTAGTGAGTCGGATTTGAAGGGGTCGTTGGCCTGGGGCTCAAGGGTGAGGCCGAGCAGAGTGCCGACGGAGAACTTGGTGATGGAAAGGATGAGGTCTAGGATGAGATAGGTGTAGAGGGAGTAGAGGGCGAGTACCGCCCAGGGGTGGATTTGGGATTTGTGGCGGTAGATTGGGGTGAGCAGAACGAGCAACGCCAGCTTGATGCAAAAAGGAATGAGAGAGGGGTCAGTGTCGGATTTGGGATGACAGCTTGTTTGGATTTTGACGGGGAGCGAGGAGATGGCGATGAAGGTGGGGAGGGGGAGGTGAGGGGAGAGGGGGCCCACGCCGAAGGAGAGGAGGAGGAGCTTGAAGACGCCGAGCCAGGCGAGGAAGAAGGCCGTAGTGCCTCGGAGGTTGACGGAGGTGAAGCGCCAAGGGAGGCACGGGAGGAGGAGGATAACTGGGAGGAGAGAGAGTAGCCGGAGCTTTCCTGGTCTGATGCTTGAAGACGCGAAGCGAGCGTAGGTCATTGACGCGACGAGCCATGCTGTTACCTTGATGAGGGATTCGATCAAGATTCCCCCCCGCTACCATCGGTTTGAGATTGCCTGCTGGGACCAAATTAGGGATGAACAAAAAAGAGAACAGGAAAAGTCAAGCTGAGAGGCGCTATTAGAAAATAGCACGAGCAGCACGCAGGACAAGCTGGGCCTCGACTTTCAGGTGCAGATTCGCGAGGGGGGTATAACAAAAAGTATCGGCTTCATTCATCCAAGAGGCGTTTGAATAGAGATTTAAGTGCGCTTAGTTTGTACAACTAAAGAGGAAGGTTTATTTTAATTTCGTGTTTGGAAAATAAGGAAACGATAAGAAGGTTGACCTCTTGATTTTGTTTAAAAAGTGCTGTCCAATGAAATTGACTAGACAAGGGCGGGAGGCGGGAGCTACATAGATTGTGAAACCTATTAGGTATGAACCCCATTAGTTACTTATTTACCTCGTTATACGTTTTTTTTGTACTTTTCTTTTTATATTGTTAGTTTTCATTTAGTTCGAGGTAGATAAACTCGTATAGGAAATAGACATGTTAGATAAGTGTATAAATATTTATGTGAAAATTGAACAAACATACATGGATTTCTTATGAACATATGAAATGAAGATACATTCACATAAAAAAAATTGATATATCGTATGAATATAGAATGATTAATATGAAACAGTAGATAGAAACTTATTAATTATGATCGAATTCATATGAAAGGTAGATATGTCATATAAAAAGTAAAAAAAATATATATTAAGACTAAGGGGAATAAAACACGTTGGGATGGAGCAGGGGAACAGGCGATTCGGCGACCAGGCGGCGGTACGGAACCCAAGGCGACGTCTAGTCTCCATTCATGATGGTAAGATCACAATCTCTCCTCCATCTATCCTCTCCCAGCCTTTAGTTCCACCCACTCCCTCTGCTGTTCGTCACATTGCCCATCCGAAGCCCCTCCCCCACCGTCCCAAACCCTTTTCTTCACCACCGTCCTTACCTTTTCACCCTACTCAAAATCCTGCGCCTTCTTCCAAACCCTCGTTCGTCGATATTCTCAAGGGCCCCAAGGCAGCTCAAACCCCTAAAGTACCTTCTTCAACCTCCAAAGGCCTTCTCCCTACCCCAGATCTAGGTTGGACCACAGTATCCTACAGGAAGAGTCCCAAAAGGCCCAGATCTGTAGCCTCTTCATCCAAGCTTCATACCTCTAAAAAGCTCCAAAGGTGCTACCTTTGTGGCAATCCTAATCACATGGCAAAGAACTGCTCTCTGGGAGGCTTCAAATGCTTTGCATGCATCCTCATTGGCCACACCTCAACTTGCTGCCCCAACAGAAAGCAACCCCCTTTGCTCAGCATCCCCTCATCTCTCTTACCCTCTTCCCCACCGCCCCTTTTTCTCCCAAAGATCTCTCTTCCCCCATCTGTTATCTCCAGCTTGGAGGAGTTCGCGAGCTACGCACATTTCCAGATCCAAGTTGGAAACCCTTCATATGCCGAGTTGGTAGAGAACCTAGAGCTACATTTCAATGTAGAGAAATGGTCCCAGGTGATTAGGCAAATGACGGCTGCTTCCTACTTCATCCAGTTCCCTGATGCGGAGACCCTGGACCACGCATGCTCCAAACCATTCTTCAACATGGGAAATTTTAGGGGAGTCTTCTCCAAATGGACAGAATCTTCAGGCCTTAAAGTCCTTCCAAAGTTTTATTATGTCTGGGTAGAGCTCCTTTACCTTCCCATACATCTATGGGATTCAGAGTTTATTACCAACATTCTAGTGGACATTGGAGACGTCATCTCCTTCTCTGATGATGTCTTGCTTAAGAAAGAAGCAAATGCCTGTAAAGCCATGTTGCATGTTCGGGATCCATCCGAAATCCCCCAGGAAATTATCTTTCGTTATGAATCTCCCAACGAAGTTCACATTATGGAAGGTGTGGTCAAGCTGAGAGTGGCTGGGGACCCTCTCCCTGCGGAGCAAGGCAAAGACCGAGATCTTTTTGAAGCTTTCGTCCGTAGAGAGGGAGCCCCACCCACCGCCCCAAGGCTCGCTCCGCCCAGCAGAGACGCCAGCAAGTCACCCCATCCAGATGCCCCCTAAAGCAGGCCCAGATCCAAAAGGCAAAAGGCCTATGATTGAGAGTGGAGACTTGCATCCCTCTTCCCCCATTGTAGCAGACCCAGCAGCTTCCTCAGATTTGATAGCAGTATCTTTCAAAGGGATCACCATAAATATCTCCAGAGATTCATGGGCCATCCTCAATGCTGCCTTCCCAAACCTCGAAGAAGTTTCCACCCTACCAACAAAAGCAGATCGAGTCAACCTGATCAGTTTATCAGACTCGACGGACCTTGTTTCTACCTCAGACCCACCTCCAGGATTCGAGAAAGCTAACAGCAAAGCCAAGAGGGTCAAAAAGAAAGCCTCCAGTGGTCTCCACATGCCTATGCCTTTCAAAAAGCATCTCTCCAAGATGAAGAAGGGTAAGAAATCAGGTATATCTAAATCCACATCATCTTCCTCTGTCTCTACTCCCCCTTTCCATTCCAGTGTGTTGGAGAAATTAGAGGATATCTCAGTCAACTGTGGCATCCAAGAACCGATAGATCCTCTAGGGTTGCTTGACATCCACAAAATGATGTCTGAAGAAGCCCTCCCTCTTTGAGCCCCCCCCCTCTCAAGTTGTATCTCATCAGTTTTCATGCGTATCGGATCTTGGAATGTTAGAGGGTTAAACAACCCACCTAAACGTAGGTTGGTCAGGGAATGTCTCTCCTTGGCTAAAATTAATCTTGTCGGACTGCAAGAATCCAAATTGTCTTCCCCTAGCCCCTCTCTTATCAAATCCTTAGGGGCAGAAATATCTCATCTTGGATTTCTCTCGACGCCAATGATTCCAGGGGAGGTGTTTTATTGGGGTGGTATGATGACCTTTTCTCCTGCTCTTCCTCATCAGTAGACATCTTCTCTGTATCGGCTACCCTCACCCACAGACCATCTAACTGGAGCTTTGTAGCCACCTCCATTTACGCTCCATGTGATTCTTCAGAGAGGGAGGTATGTTGGTGGGAATTAGAAAAAAATAGAGGTTCTCATTCTCTCCCATGGGTGGTTTTCGGAGACTTCAACATGACTCTTAGCATTGAAGAAAGAAGTGGTCGTTCTAGCTCCATTCGAGACATCAAAGAATTCCAACATCTCATTGATTCTATCCAGCTTACAGACCTCCCCCTCAGTGGGAGACTATTCACCTGGTCCAATCATAGATCCCCCCCTTCGTTAGCCAGATTGGACAGGTTCTTAGTCTCCTTGGATTTTGATTCCAAATTCCCCCAAATGGTTCAGTTCGCCTATCCACCTTCGTGTTCAGATCACTGCCCCATTATATTGGACACTGATTCCCCCTCCTTCCCCTCTCCTCTTTTTAGATTTGAAAAAATGTGGCTTTCACTCCCATCTTTCCCATCCTTCATAGAATCCAACTGGAAATCCTTTTCTCTGCAGCATGATAAAAAAATTCCCCTTCTTTTCAAACTCAAACTTATAAAAAGAAGAATCAAATGGTGGAGGAAAAACTGCTTTGGATCTCTATCCCTGTCCATCTCTAACCTCCCATCCCAAATTCACTCCCTCAACATCAGCGAAGAATCAAGAAGTTTAACCCCTCAAGAGTCTCAGCTTAGATCTGCCTTGAAAGATCAACTCCTCTCTCTAGCTAAAGCTGATGAAATCAAGTGGAAACAGAGATCCCGCATTCAATGGTTGAAAGAAGGAGATAACAATTCTGCTTTTTTCCACAAAGTAGCTTCCTTCCACCGAAGAAAGAACTTTATCCCACACCTCCTCATCAACAACTCTATTATTTCTTCCGACAGTGCCATCAAACAAACCTTCTTTTTTTTCTCTAATCTCTTTGACCAACCACCAACATCTAGACTATCCCCTAACTGGGGTCTTCTTTACCCAAATGATAACTTTGACCTTTCTTCTTTAGATCTCCCCTTCACCCCTCATGAAATCTCAGAGGCTGTTTTTGGCCTTCACCCTGATAAATCTCCGGGGCCTGATGGATTCCCCATCCTCTTCTTCCAGAAATTTTGGCACGTCATTCAAGCGGACGTAATTGAATTCATCCAAGGCCTATATTCCCAACCTCATCTGTTACACAACATCAATTTCTCCCACATTTGCCTAATCCCTAAGAAAGACAGTGTTCTCTCACCCAAGGACTTCCGCCCTATCAGCCTCATTAATAGTTCTTGTAAGATTTTCTCAAAGATCCTGGCAAATAGACTTAGAAAAGTTCTACACCTCCTCATTGACAATTCCCAATCAGCTTTTCAATCTGGAACATCATCTCTGGACTCCTTTCTGCTAGGTCATGAGATGATCAACTTCTGCTCTTCGGGGAAAAAAGAGATTTGCGCCTTTAAGGTTGACTTCTACAAGGCTTTCGATTGTGTCAACTGGTCCTTCCTTCAGTCTCTTTTAAAAGCTAGAGGTTTTGGCCCCAAGTGGTGCCTTTGGATTCACAGCATCCTATCCTCCTCTAAATTAGCTGTTTTAGTTAACGGCTCCCCTACCAAATTCTTCCGATGCTTTAGGGGTCTAAAACAAGGCGACCCACTATCCCCCCTGCTCTTCTTGTTGGTGGCAGACGTTCTCAGGAAATTGCTTAATTGCAGTGCTAAATCGGGGGATTTATCTGACCTTAATCTGAAAGGGCAGCTCAATACTATCAGGTCAATCCAGTTTGCGGACGATACCATCATATTCTCTAGGGCCACCCCCTCTGATATGGTTACTCTAAAAACTATTCTCTCCATCTTCGCAAACATATCAGGCCTGTGTGTTAACCCCCTCAAATCAAATCTCTTTTACCTTGGTAAAACTCCTCTCAAAGGCAAAATGCTAGCTGAGATCCTCAAATGTTCTGTTGGCACTCTCCCGTTCTCATACCTGGGTCTCCCCCTTAAAAGAGGATCTCTCTCCAAAAGAGAGTGGCAACCTCTTTTAGAATCCTTTAACAAGAAGCTTTCGCTATGGAAAAACAAATCTCTTTCTATTGGTGGTAGGTTAACTCTCCTAAATTCAGTCCTATCTTCTCTTCCACTCTACTATATGTCCTTTTTTAAGCTGCCGCAGTGGCTTATAACGGCCATAAACAAAATCAGAAGAAACTTCCTATGGAATGGTAGTCACTCTCACTCGAGTATTAAATGCCTTATTAATTGGAGGAAAGTATGCAAGCCAAAGGCTAAAGGAGGTCTGGGGGTCATTGACATCGAAA